AAAAAAAAAAAACAACCACATAGTAAGGTCTGCGTCTGCGCGTTCCGCCCACGAAACCCCCCGCGCAGGCGCTAGAACTACCCCTCCCGGGATGCCCCGCGCCCCGACCTGCTAAGAAGAGCGACGCTGATTGGTGGGGCGGGAGCGGCCGGTCGGCCGGAGGGACAGAGGCAGGAAGCGGAGTCGGGGGGGCGCCTGTGGGGCGAGCAAAGGGGCCGCGATGGTGCTGGAGAGCACGATGGTCTGGTGAGCGGCGGGAGGGGCGGCCGGGGGGCCGGGGGGGCAAGGCCGGGAGCGGCCGGAGGGGGCGGGAGCGGGTTTCCCTGAGTCACGGTCGGGGTCTGGGGGCCCCAGGAGGGGGGGGGGAGAGGGGGGGGCGGGGGGGGGGGGGGGGGGGGCCGCCGGGGGGGGCCGGCCCCCCCCCTCGGTCCCCCGGGGGGGGGGGGGCGAGGAACACACCCCCCTGAGCGGCCCCCTCTGCCCCCCCCCCAATTCGCAGCGTGGACAACAGCGAGTACATGCGGAACGGGGACTTCCTGCCCACCCGCCTGCAGGCGCAGCAGGACGCCGTCAACATCGTCTGCCACTCCAAGACCCGCTCCAACCCCGAGAACAACGTGGGGCTCATCACGCTGGCCAAGTGGGTCCCTTCGCCCCGAAGGGGGTGGTCTGGATGCCCTCGGGGGGTGGGGGACCCCTCCGAGCCCCCCCAGGGATTCTGTCACGCCCTGCCTTGTCTCCCCTCCGCCTCTCCCGGGTCTGCTTTTTTGGGGGGACCTGGCCTGCAACTGGAAAGGGGGTGGTGGACTAGATGGCCTCCCAGGGCCCTTGTCTCTGCGATGCCTTTCCCGGACACACATTTTCTTTAATGTCTGCATGATACTACTTGTCTCAGAACTGGAGGGAGACCTATAGGCCTCTGAGTCAGTGGGCTGAGGACTTGAGCAATGTGTGTGTTTTATCATCTTCACACACACAAACACACACACACACACACCCCTGTCAGGTCTGCTTTGGAGAGGCGGCTTTGATCTTGGCCCATCTTGGGAAGTGGGTTGGACTAGATGACCCACGAGGTCCCTGGCGTGCTTCTCCCAGATCTCTCTGGGGTCTCCTTTGGAGGGGGTGTGTGGCTTTCTGATCCTGGCCGGTTTGTGTTGCAGCAACTGCGAGGTGCTGACCACCCTGACGCCGGACACTGGCCGCATCCTGTCCAAGCTGCATTCGGTGCAACCCAGAGGAAGGATCACCTTCTGTACCGGCATCCGAGTGGCTCACGTAAGCCGCCTCTCCCCCCACCCCACCCCCAGGTCTCTCTCTCTCTGTGTGTGTGACTGGCCAGATCGCAGTCATTCCCCCACCCACACCAATTCTTTCCTCGGCTGCTGGGATCTATGAGGCTGGAGGTGTAAAAGCTTCGAGCAAAGGTTCAGGTGTTCTCTCCGCTCCGTAATTTGAGGCCACAGCCCTTCCCCTAAAACTCTTCTTCCTTCCTTCCTTCCTTCCAAAGCTGGCTCTGAAGCACCGCCAGGGGAAGAACCACAAAATGCGCATCATTGCCTTTGTTGGGAGCCCAGTGGAAGACAACGAGAAGGATGTGAGTAATACGAAAGACAAAATACGCCAACCTAACTTAAAAACGAGGGAGAGTTTAAATAGAGTAAAGCTTCAGAGATGCTGCTGAGCACTCCTCACCCCGTAGCTGGGGTTCCTCACGTCCGGCCTTGTCATTCCCAAATGGAGCGCCCGTCCTTGGTTCCGGTTGCCCCATTGAAGGCACTCTCTTTATTTACAGCTGGTGAAACTGGCCAAGCGGCTGAAGAAGGAGAAAGTGAACGTGGATATCATCAACTTTGGAGAAGAGGTGAGGGGACACCCCCCCCCCCCCAAGGTTGGCTTTGTGAATCAAGGTTTTGGGGGAGACCTCACCTCCCCAACTTCTTCCCTTCCTGCTCTGTAGGAGGCCAACACGGACAAGCTGACCGCTTTCATCAACACCCTGAATGGCAAAGACGGCACCGGTTCCCACCTGGTGACGGTGCCTCCCGGGCCAAGCTTGGCCGATGCCCTCATCAGCTCCCCCATCTTGGCCGGAGAGGGGGGAGCCATGCTGGGCCTGGGGGCAAGCGACTTTGAGTTTGGCGTGGATCCCAGCGCTGACCCAGAGCTGGCACTGGTAAGGCAGGCCGTGGGGCTCTTCCGGAGGTTCCTTTCCTTTCTCCAACCTCGGGCAGTTGGGTTGCCATTCCCTGAAGGCCCTGTGAGGCAGGGGGGCCCAACCGTGGCCACTTGGGAGACCTGTGGACTTCAACTCCCAGAATTCCTCAGCCAGCGTAACACCACTGAGGAAGCGGCTGCTGAGGTTTCCTCTGCCCTTCCAGGCTCTGCGAGTGTCCATGGAAGAGCAGCGTCAGCGTCAGGAGGAAGAGGCCCGCAGGGCAGCTGCTGCCTCTGCCGCCGAGGCTGGCATTCCTACCTCGGGCGGAGACGGTAAGAGGAGAGCTGGGGGTGGGTGGGGGGGGCTCCAGGGCCCTCTCCTTGGGGGGCCTTGGCTTTCCTCGTTTTCTGAGCAAGCAAGAATTGGAACTCTTGCAGCTGTGCAAAGCGGGAGAAACTAACATTGTGGCGTCATATTTATCCATAATCAACCCAGGGGTAATGTGTGTGTGTGTCTGTCTTTTTTAATGCATGTTTTTCTTAAGGTTTTGTCTTTTCTTTGTTTTTTTGTTTTTTTTTTTGCTTGTAATTATTTTGTGGGAATTTGTATTTTAACTTCCTGAATGGAATAATTTTTAAAAAAAACCTGGCTCTCTTTAGCTGAATGGCGCATGGAATTGAGACTTTTTAAAAAGCCACTTTGAAAAAAAGGCCAGGCATTGCCTGCCTGCAAATCCTCAAGCCTCGCTCGGGGCAGCTTTGAAGCCCACCACCCGCCAATGGGAACCCCTCTCCCCTTTTCTGTCTTTCAGATTCAGACGACGCTCTGCTCAAAATGACCATCGGGCAGCAGGACTTTGGCCGAGCCGGCCTGCCTGACCTCAGCACCATGACTGAAGAGGAGCAGATCGCCTACGCTATGCAGATGTCCCTTCAGGGAGCTGGTGAGGGCGGGGGAGGGGGTGGGTGGGCCGGGCCAACCCCAGTAAGGGGGCTGGAGAAGCAAGACCAGTCAAACCGGCACTGCCACCAATCTCTCTTCTCTCTCCAGAATTTGGGCAAGGCGAGTCGGTGGAGGGGGAGAGTTCAGCTGATATGGACACGTCAGAACCCGCCAAGGTTTGAGTTTTGGGAAGACCGAGCTGGGCTTGAAGTGGGCAGCGCTGAAGTCATGAGAGTCCCCCTCCAGACTGCTTGGGGGGCCTCACGAGACAGGATCTGCCCCCTGGCCCAGGTTCTCTTGCTGCTATTTTTAAATGACGGCAGCGATGCAAAAAGGGGAAATTCTGGCACGGGGTTTGCTTGTACCTGGGCCTGCTCCCCTCTGCTGCCCCCCACCCCCCAAATCCAGCTTTCTCAGAACTCCTGACTTAGCAGGTGGAGGGACTCCCACTGTGGTCTGTTCCCTAATCCCAGATTAAGCCACTTGTGGCTTCCTGTGACATCCGACCCCTTCCTCCCTCAGGAAGAAGACGACTACGATGTCATGCAGGATCCCGAATTCCTCCAGAGCGTTTTGGAAAACCTGCCGGGGGTGGATCCCAACAACGAGGCCATCCGCAACGCTATGGGGTCCCTGGCCTCCCAGGCCTCCAAGGAGAGCAAGGAGAAAAAGGAGGAAGACAAGAAATGAGGGTGGTGGGGCGGCTGAGCCCCTCCTTGTCCTTCTGTCCACACACCTCCCAGGTCGTGTGGCCTGGTAGCGTTCGTTTTCCATAACCTTTCCGGGCTTGTCTGTCTGCAGGGGGTGGGGGGGTCACAGGGGGGTGGGGTCCTTTTCGCATTTTGCTTCTGGTTCAACAGTAAATAAAACCCGTAAATTTTCTCCATACTTGGTATGTTTCCTTGAAGCAGGCTCCTAAAGCGTCACCAAGAGGGGTGGACGCAGGGTGTAAACCTCCATCTCGGTGACGGGCAGAGGTGAAAAAGTCAGATTCCACCCCTGTGTAACTGGAGAATGCCCAGCCTCTCAACCTCCATCCAGATCTACTTCTCATTTTTACTTCTGGATCCTCGTCTGTTAAGATGCCCCCAGAGAGAATTCTAGCAACCCATTGGAACGGCCCTCTCTTACAAACCCTGATTGCTGCCGATGATAAAACACTGCATCACTTACACCAGCGAGTGTATCTCTGTTTATGGTGGGTTGCAGGAAGAGAGCCATGTTAGGCTGCGGAAGATGCCTGAAGTTGCATCCAACGAGGTGAACCCCGGTTCCCAAACCCTCGTGCCTTTGTTCAGT